ATTCATTCACATTTCTACATTTCTACAATATGATGATATATATTATGTGAATTTTTTTTTTGGGTGCTATCTATTTATTTGTTTGTGTGTGTGTGTGTGACTGCTGTTATTGGTTATATTGCACACATATTTGGTTTACTTCTGGGAGCCCATTTTACTACAGAGTTTTGAATTCAGAATGTAAAAACGAATTCGAAAAAAAAAATTTTTTTGCCAATTGCTATATCTTTGTACATATGTATTGTGTATTTGAATGTTTGAATGTTTTTTTTCTGTTCAGTTTCATTTGGTGTTTGGATTCGATTGTGTTCGTTAGTTCGTTTTTTTGGTTTTGTTCGAAAATACTTTTTGTTTTTCCTATGTGTGTGTGGGCAAATATTCAAAAATTCGAAATCTGAATTGTTTTTTCATTTCGAATGTTGTGTGTGCTTCGTTCGTTATCCGAGATAATTTGGATTTCCGTTTGTTTCATCTCGATTAGATTCTTGTCATGTTATTTGTGTTAACAAATAACCAACTAACCAACCAACCAACCTACCTACAATCCACCCACCAAACTTGATAAAAAACATTTTTTATCAAATAGAAATGAATGAATGACACACCTTGATTTTTTTTAATACTTTGTTTCTCTACGTGTATTTCATGTATATCCGCATTCTCATCAAAAAAATTATTCTATTTTGACATTTTAGATGTTTTTTCTAACATTTTTTTTTTGTTTTGTTTTAAATTATCATTGTGTTTGTGTATGACTCTCTCTTAACCACCGTTGAATTGATTTGATTGAAAACTGCCCTAACTCGAATTAGCAACAGAAAAAAAAATTATTTTTTGATCTCAAAATTATTGATTGATTGATCGATAAACAATGTCTCAATTATCAATATCACCAAGTCCAAGACATTCAAATTCATATCATCATCATTCACATTCACATCATCAATTACCATCAAATAATAGTCCAACATCAACAATCAGTGATGATGATGATGATATTGATGATGATGATATTGATGATATTGGTGGTGGTGATTTAAGTAATCATTCAGATTCACCAAATGATCTCAGAACTGCACGTAAGTTTTTTTTTTTGAAAAAAATTAACACTTCGTTAACACACACACACAAAAAAAAAATCAAATCTTGATAATCCATGTTCGGATTCCGTTTTAGATTCTGTTTCGATGAATAAAAACTAAAGCAAAGCTATATACAACAACAAAATTCTTGTTGCTGTTGGTGATTTTCATCATTCTGATCATCATCATGACAGTTTTGTGTGTGTGAATGTGAGTTTGAGTCGATTCTTTGTTGATAAAAAATATGGGGTTATGGTATTATGGATGTGTCTACTATTGTATAATGTAGTAGGTTTGTCGAATGTCCACTTGTGTGTGTGTGGATCAACCTCAACCAGATCAAACACAAAGAATGGCAAACAGAAAAACAGAATAACAACAACAACAACAACAACATAAGCCAGCCATAGGAATCATCTCTCTATCCGTGAATAGCTTTGAGTATTAGTTAGTTAGTTAGTTAGTGATGGTTATGGGGTTATGGATGAATACTTTTTGTAACGTACATTGTGTATATTCGGTATATATTATTATTTTTTTTTCTGAAATGGGATATAGAGGTTACCCCATTCTATTCAATCGGTTATCATTTTTTACATACACACAGCCAAAACAAAAAACTTTTTTTTCTGGCATAGAGTGGCGCACGGTTTAAGCCAAAAAAGACAAAAATTCCTTCAGTTAGTCTAGAATAGAAAGAAAAGTGAAACATAAAAATTGATGATCCAGAATACATCAACAACAACAACAAAAAAGTGCTGCTGTTGTTGTTTAGTTTGTTTTCAAAAAATTTTTTTCATTGATTTTTTCATTAATTTTTCCCCCTTGAAAATGATATTTAGACAAATCATCTCGACATGGTGGCAGTGTATTTGGCAACAACAATGGTAATGGATCACCATTAACTGGTGGTGGTGGTTATCATTCATTTTATTCACCACCACATCAATCATCAAATAATAATCATAATCATAATAGTGGTGGATCAAATAATTCAAATCAACAACCACAATATATTGCAACAAATGAATGTCGCCTGATTGATTATCGTGGACATCGTATTGCAGCATTTCTAGCTGCTAATCGTCAAGGAGAATATCTCCTATGTTTACCACAAGCATTTGAATTATTTTTAAAACATTTAGTTGGTGGTCTACATACGGTTTATACTAAACTTAAGGTTTGTTTTTTGTCCAAATTCTTAATTTATTTTTGCAGAAGAATAACCGGAATTTCTTTTCAAACACAAACAAACAGCGTTTAGATATTGTACCAATCGTATGTAATGTTGAACAAGTAAGAATTTTACGTGGTTTAGGAGCAATACAACCCGGTGTTAATCGTTGTAAATTATTATCAACACATGATTTTGATACACTTTATAAAGATTGTACAACTGCTCGGTAAGGAAATTTTTATTTTTACAAAAAACTTTCTCAAAAAACTTTCCAAAAATTCGATTCTAAGAACTTTTCTCTTGGACAAAAATCTAATCAATGGCCATTTTTTCTTTTTTGTTTTTATTTTCTGTTTTTTTTTCTTTTGTTACAATTTTTCTGGATTTTGTCGAAATTGTTTTCTTGATTGGTTTTGCGAATGAATGAAACAAACAAACAAACCAACCTAAACAACAATAATAATAATGATGGATCAATTCAAACTAAAAATGAAAAATAATAATAATAATAATGATAAAAAATGGGCAATTCATTCAAGAAGTTGGTAAGTTTTAAAGTTTTTTTTTCTTCATTGATTTTCTGCTTACTTTTTATTTTTATTATAAACAAAAAAAATTTCATTTTCAATGTCGCACGATATGCATGGCATGCTCACCCAAAATGCTCCATCAATTTTTTTAATTTTAAGTGGCATACGTTTCAGCGCATCTATCAATAATGAAGATGATTTTTTATCGACTAAATTTATTACATAAGCATATCTGATGTTGATCTACAGTTAGTTAGACCACTGTGATTTTATACACATAGGACAAACAAACAAACTGAATTTTCATTCAGTTTTTTTTTTGATTTTCAATTGCAAAATGATGTTATACGAGATTTATGCGCAAAGCTAACAAAAATAAGCAGAAGAAGAATCAGAGCAGCAAACATCAACCAATTAATTTGGCTAATAAATTAAATGAAATTTGATATTGTTTAATTGAAACAAAGCTGCACAGAATTTTTTGTTTAGTAAATTTTTCATTTGAATCTGAATGATCTGAAATGTATGCTTGCAGTATGGAAAACATCATTTCGAAAACAAAAACAAAAAACAAAACAAAACAAGCACACTATATTAACAGCTCAATTTTTTTTTGTTTCTATCCTCTGTCCTTAGTTATTGTTTATATTTGTCAGTATCATCAACATCTAATCATATTACATCTGCTGATGTATATCTTGTCGATTGAAGAGAGAGAGAGAGAGAGAGAGAGAGAGAGAGAGAGAGAGAGAGA